AGGAAGATTTCTGCTACTTGTTTCTCTTAGAGGCTGAGTCGACCCCAGGGTCATAGTGCGCTAGAAGGCTCAGGTCAATAGAAAAAATGGCCTCATTCGGCAGTGACCCCTCGATTTTCTGGCTTGTAGCATAGTGCCTCAACCAACTACGCTACCGCGTACCCCTTCTTCTCAGTACATATTTCACGAAATACAACTGAAGATTAATGTGCATTTGTAAGTAGTACAATATCTGAATTGAGATTATGTTCCTATTTTCTCGGCTCTGATGCACTCTTCATCTGGAGGATATTTATCAACGCTTTGGAAGAACGCGTTGTCTCCATCCTTATTGCAGAATAGTCACACACCAGTGGGCGGTTATTCTTATAGTGGGCGCCATGACAACCTCAGGTGTTATATATCATATTTGCTATTCCATATTTGTAAGTACCACAGTATTGTATCAAAAATAAATGAACACCATTTTTGTCGAAGTTCCCCTATGACACGTGGAGTAACTTCCTCAGTCGGTCACAAAGAATTAACCGGTATAAAATTTGAGTGCTTAAATTATTGTTCAGAATATTCTGAATCGCTAAAAGGAGTCCACAATTCATGCACTGCCTAGAAAGTAAACGTTAATATTATTTGCCCATCTATGGACAGCTCACAAATGGTTTTGTCCGGCGAAGTTTTCAGACTAAATGTTATGCCTGTTTCCTGCCCTATAGGCGCTACATATCCTGTCCATCTCACCCTTGATTAATCATGCTATTGTTGACATTGGCTTCTCACCTTCTCTTGGATATTTAAGCTGAGTGATAATGGACTGTTGTTAAAGTTTCGAAGGAAAACGCTGCCTCCATTTCAGGATCCAGCTGAATACTAGGCTCATATACAGAAGAGCAGAAACGATATTAACTAACCTACGCCAATACCCAATATAACTTACGTGCTCTTGCTGTGAGAACAAAAAGAGAACGTATTACGAAGCTCCTAATAATGTCATCTTTATTGCGCCACCCAGATACTTCCTTCTGTTGCGCCAATGTTGCACATTGTTTCCAAATAACCTCTGTCTGCGTCATGTTCTCAGGTTATACAACAACTACGCATATGGATACTGTCTACTGTCATTCGCTCTTTACTTCTGCGTCTTATTTCGTGTGTGTTGTTTTCACAGCGTGTTTCTTGGCTGTGAGCTTGGTGGTGGCGAATGCAGAGCAACACGAGAAAGACCACGAGACGTTGATTCTGCTAGAAATTGAACCCATCGTTAAAAGTAACAGCAAAGACAAACGGTCTCCTCAGCATGGCTCGAGTCAGGCTGTCTTTGCTGCCTCTCCCGGACAGTTCCTTGTTCGCACCAGCAGTCCCAGCGGAGACACACAGGCTCAAGTGCAACCCGAGTACCTGAACCTGCTGGTGGGACAGCAGCCGGAGGCGGACCAGACACCCCCGCAACCTGTCCTCCAGCAGCTTCTCATTGCAAGGTATAAATGGGAAGAGGTAAACACTGCCAAGCCAGGACGGTCTGACAAGAAATAAGTAGGAACAATTTTTGAATAAAATATGTAACAAATCTCTTAAGTATCAGTACAGACTAAACAGAAAATCAGTGCGAAGTAACAGATTCAAAATAATAAATAATAATAATTCAAAATAAATAAAACTAAACTATCTACCTATCTACCTATTTAAGCCTCTATAGTCCATTTTTCGGATCTTGGCAGCTTTTCAGTTTCTTGATCTTGTACACAGTCGATAGGACTTCTTGGACCGGAGATCAGCCCGTCGCAAGGCACGCACACAGACATCCTTACCTCGAGTGGTATTCGAACTCAAGGTCCCAGTGTTCGAGCGGGCGAAGGCTGTTCACACATTAAACCTAGCTGCCATTGTGATCGGCAGACAAGTACACTGAAGTTCGAAATGTTAGCAGAGGCACCTAGTAAATGAATAGGAAACAACTTTTAAGGTGAATTGACTAACAAACCACTTTGTAGCCGGGCATCAAAGGAGGCTACGAAATATTCAGCAGGAAACGAGGTCAGCAAGAAATTAATGACAACCTGCTATGCAGATCGTAATATAAACAGGAATTAAAAGAACATAAGTAATTAGTAAATTATAAAACAAAGAAGTACACTACACACAACTCTTCATCTCAGATTATTATCAGAGACCGGCTGGAAATTAATGGGGGTTCAGGAATAATTAATAACGTTATAAGTTTTGAGGTCCTCACACCAGTGGTCATGAAGAGTTCTATCCTCTGGCATATAACGCCATGTAGTCCGTTGAAAGTCGACCGATTTTTCAAGTAAAATATCGCCTGCATCACCAAGGTCTAAGACTAAGCTGAGTAAGATATTGACGTGGAAGCTTGCTCGGCTTATTCTTCAAGTCTGGAGATGGAAGCGAAATATTCCTCCGAAATATCGGTTGACTTTCAATAGACTGTTCAATAGACTGAAAGCTCACAACCACCGCTGCGAGAAGCTCAAAGCCTACAGAATTTCCCCATATTTGACCGGATCAACTTAAGGGAACAAGAAAAACCTCAGTCAAGTCGGCGGTTCTCGTGTCTTCAGTCAGATTGTTGAACCCGGGAACCTCCTAATAGAAAGCAAGAGTGCTAATTAGTCGACTGCGACCTTCTGTTTTGGCACCTTAGATTAAAAAGAAATTAATGAATATTTGTCTATCGGAGCAAATTTATAAAAAGGAGAAGGAATTTCTGTTAATTCTTCAGGAAAAATGATCGGTTGCCTAAGAATGTCAATAAATATAATATGACACATAAAATTGCATAATAACCCTGCCTCGTATTCTGCAGGTTCGGAGTCTAATTTCGCCCTGAAGAAGTTGCCAACAATTTTCCCGTGGCTTTGCACATCCCCTCCAGATCAGTGTCCTGATTAAATGATAAACCACTCCACGGCTGTTCATTCCCACGTCATTTACATGGAATTAACTACTGATGCTATTATTGGGCGCTACATAAGCTGAGATTGGGCAATTATATAAAACATAAAACGTAGGTGGCAAAAGTAAGGCTATTCCTGTAAGAGGCCGTGGGGTCACGTACTGTTTTAAGACGTCTAAGATCACACATTTTCTCGAAAATCGGCTCAAAGATGGCAGTGAAGTTGTCATCCTTACGTGCCGGCCGCCCTTTACCGCCCAGGAAGATTCCTGATACTCATTTCTGTTAGAGATTGAGTCGAACCCAGGACCATAGTGCGACTGGAAGGATTATGTCAGTTGAAAAATCCAATGCCCTAATCGGGAATCGAAACCGCGACCTTCCGGCTTGTAGAATAGTGGCTCAACCAACTACGCTACCGCGTGTCCTATAAATAAAGCATATATAAGTAAAGAAAAACAACATGTAAATAAAGATTTGCCGATTCTAGGGAATCAGAATTACTTTACAGCCAATCAGTTCGTCTTGGCGCGAAGCCCCTCTAGAATAACGAAGAGAGTTTTGTTTAACTGAACCCTTGCGGTCACAGTCTTTATGTAACATCCTCTCTGAAGACAGGATGGATTGGTTTCTCTCTAATGAATGGGCTCAGTCCTTGTCAAGTTTATGTATCGCACATATAGCATGTTATTAGGCTACAATAGGCCAATCAGTGGCCGCCGTGCCGAGTGGACCCAGATGGACTCCACCCCCCACTAAGCGAATTAAAATAATTATAGCATGTTATTGGAAATTCTTCCTTTTACAATATATACAAGTCCTCTGTCGATACAGACTTTTGCGAAGCAGATCATTCCTATCTTACTTACCTTATCTACAACGGCAGCTTAGTTGCTTGAACGGTCGTAAGCTTGACCGCCGTCAAGTTTAAGCTCTTTGTATTTTCTGCGTCTGGCTTCGGGATTCTACGTGACGGTCGAATTCACAATCTGTACAGTCAGTAATATTAATGTGCTTCATTCATTCATTCATCAGTAATCTGTCAGATGACAGGTCCACAGCCTCTTCCAAAACAGTTTCTCCACTTAATGCGATAGTGATAATGTGGTAGTTTTTCCATTTGCTTTCCACATCGCAGTACAACAGCCGTTCAAACCACTCTGGTCACGCCTGTTGCTATATGAACTTGAACCATCTCGAGCATCATTTTCTCTGTGCTTCAAGTCACCGCGGATGACGCTGCTTCCGGCATCAGTTTTCGGTGTCTCTCTTCGTCTGATGCCTACCCTTTGACCTGTCCAGCAAGGGAGGCCCTGCCAGTAGCTACGCTACCGCTGGTATAGCTCTCAGGGTCCTTGGCATACTCAAACACCCTCACCACGATAAGGTGGAGACACCAACGAGGGGATTAATGTGCTTAGAGTACTATAATAAAGAATCAGGAATGTAAATGACACATTGTTAGATTATACAAATTAGAAATCGAAAAAGTTCTGTCAATTGTTTTCGAAAGAGGACATTTGAAGAACCGAGATATAGTTTAATTTATAATATTGAAATGCATTGAAATAAGAGAAATGTGTGTATGTGAACGCCGTGTGGGCACACGAGGATAGTGTTCAGTATGGGGTACGGTAGTAGTAGTCTCATTCTTTGTGTTAAATCACCAAACATTTATGTAATCTGCAAGTCAGTCGCTGATATCAGTATATTGTAACGGGTTCTGAGGGTGGTAAGTAATACTCAGAATTAATGGGTTTCTGGCCTTTGACTCTCGTCTAGTTTCCTAGAAACTAGAAAATATAACGTTTCGGAAAATGGATCAGTCTCCGTCCTCTGGTGAGGGGTGGGAAACACCTACTCTGTTGGGTCCCTTAGAAAGAGTAACCTTAAGGCCGTGTCATAGCTCAAGCGTTTAGTCGCTGGCTTCCCAACGCGGCGTCCCGGGTTCGATCCTGGGGTCTGGTCAAGTGGGATTTGTGGTGGACAAAGTGGCGCTGGGGCAGGTTTTCTCAGAGTACTTCGGTTTCCCCTGCCAATCTTCATTCCACCAATTGCTCCACAATCACCCTCACATATCATCTGGGGCTGGTACAATAGGTCACAAGTGGCCACAGTACAAGGGACTTAGTCCCACCCCACTAGCAATAAAAAAAGAGCTAACCTTAATCGTTAGTCCAGTGATTGAGGTTAGCTCTTTCTAAGGGACCCAACAGAGCAGGTGTTTCCCATCCCTCACCAGAGGATGGAGACAGATCCATTTCCCAAAACATTGTGTTTTCTAGTTTCTAGAATAACAGATGAGGGAAAACTCCAATAATTATATGTCTCTTATACAATTACTCAGCTATGTAGTCAGGCGTTTAAGTAGCTGACAAGGAATCACACAACCAGTTACATTTGATCCTGTAGTCCAGGGGTCGGCAAAGATTTTTCGTAAAGGGCCAAACATAAAATGCATTACACTCTGAGGGCCAAGAGGCAAACTCGAGGATCTTTAAAGATCGGTACAGTTAAAATAACAGGTTAAAAAACAAGTTTTCACAAATTTACTGGTAAAAATGTAACATAATAAAAAATACAAAAGGAACTACAATCATTGTTTGAAACACAGCTTTAGGCTACTAATGGGATGAATGAAATTGTTTTCTTTTAGATAACATTTCTTCAAATTGGGGGCCAAAATTAGTACTCCCTATCATCATAATTGATTGCAAATGTTCGTCTGTTAATGCTGACCTGTATTGAGATTTTACATATTTCATCTTTGAAAATGTCTTTTCACACAGGTAGGTACTACCAAATACAGAGATGAAACCTCGAGCATATGATCTTAATTCACCATATTCATCACTTGGAAGACACTTATAGAATTATGTTGGATTGTTCTCTTGGAATTTGCCTTTTAGCATGTTATCACACTACAGATTAATGACCTACAATTGAAGGTTAGGTGGAAGTTCCTCAATTGTTCAGTTAAATGGATTTTCAAATCTGGAAATGTCTTCTGCACTTGCATCAAGATCCGAAAAAAGTTGCTGGAACTGTTTTTTGAGCTCAGAAAATATATCACATGGAAATTCGTGCGGGAATGGGGAATCCACTTCCTCTTTTAATATTTGACAGCATGGGAAATGCACGAAACAGCTTGACATGATTTGTGACTCAATCAAAGCCAGTTGTCGTCGAAATGATTTTACCGCAGTATAAGTTTCACATATTAGCACTGTTTTGCCTTGTAGCTTCAAGTTGAATCCATTAAGAAATCCCGTGATATCAGCAGCAAAAGCTAATTTCCAAAGCCATTCAGTGTTCGATAATCGTGGTTGAGGGCGTTTTTTTCCATTGAGAAAAATTTCAATCTCTGCTCTGAGTTCAAAAAATCATAATAAAACTTTACCACTGCTGAGCCATCGAACTGCTGTGTGGTAGGGTAAGTCAGGATATTCGGCTTCCACTTCTGACAGAAAATCACGGAACTGACGATGGTTCAGCCCACGAGAACGAATGAAGTTCACCGTTGACACGACTGGTTCTAAAACACACGACAGATTAAGATATTTGCCACAAAGTACATGCTGGTGAATGATACAATGAATAACCATAGGCCTTGTACACCTTGCATTTTCACAAGCTGTGTAAATGCTTCCAACTAAGCCTTTACCTGTTCCAGACATATTTTTACCACCATCAGTTGTCACACATTTTAGCTGATTCCACTTCAGATTGTACTTCGTTAACATTTCCTCAACTTCCTTGAAAATGTCTTCGCCTGTAGTTGTTCCACGCAGACTATTCATAGAAGCTAATTCTTCAGTCACTTCAAAGTCAGCATTGACTCCTCGAATAAACAGCAGCAATTGAGCAGTATCTGTAATGTCTGTCGACTCATCAAGAGCTAAGGAAAACCACTCGAAATCATTTGCCTTGTTAATTAATTGGTTAGTGATGTTGCTACCAATGTCCTCAACTCTTCGGGCAACTGTTCTCGCGGAAAGGCTGATATTATTAAATAAATCCATTTTCTCTGGACACATTTCTTCAACTGCTACAATCAAACATGATTTAATTAACTCACCATCAGTAAAGGGTTTTCCTTCCTTGGCTAACAAATGAGCTACTCGTAGACTTACTTTACTTGCAGCCTTATTTTCATTTTTCATTTTCGTGAAGAAACTGCGTTGTAATGAAATACTCCGTTTCAAAGTTTCTAATTTTTGTGATCGTTCCTTCCCTGTGAGTTGGGAATACTGTGCCGAATGCTTAGTCTGGTAATGCCGACGTATATTGTACTCTTTTAGTACAGCTATAGTATCACTGCACAATAAACACAATGCTTTGCCATCTAATTCAGTAACAAAATAATTCTCACTCCACTCTGCCTTAAAAGCACGACATTCCAAGTCCACTTTTCTCTTCTTTTGTGGTTTCGACAGCGACATGATGGATATCCACTGGTATTAAAACGACAAAGAACAGCGATACACGTGGCATTCGTAACACTGCGTGTCATCACAGCTGGGGCCACGAAGGAACGTGCGAATGGGAAGCTATAGGAGCGCCACACACGGCAATTCTCGCAACTCCTCAACTCAAGGTCGGCCGTTGGAGTGCGTAATCATCCATAGACAATATGTTCGAAAAAACGTAGGTTCTTCCTATAAATAAAGCTTCATAGACGCAGAAATATTAAACTCATATTATAATAATTATCTTGTTTCATGAAATATTATCCCACTTTGACATTTTTAAGAGTTTGGAAATGTAAAATCTATTCTTATCGCGGGCCGCAGACAAAGCGGCGGCGGGCCGTAGTTTGCCGACCCCTGCTGTAGTCAGTCAGCTGATGAACTAGAAGTGGCCATATTCCTTGCATCTTTAGGTGAAGGTAACGAATTTGTCTCTGCTTAGTTAATTAAACATAATGGCATGAAGAAATGTAGGCATACACGTAGATATAGCTCCATACATTCTTAATCTTTGGCAGTAGACATACGTGACTAGTCAGCTTCACACTAGGGCCACTTTATCATTTACAGCAGGTGTAGGCCCGGAACTGTCATGGAGATGAGAAAATTCTGTCACAGCCAGGAATCGAATCCAGAATCGGCAATCGCCCATGTAGTAGCTTATTACTAGACCCTATACTGACTTATCTACTGTGGCTGTCTGTCACCCTCAACATGCACTGCACTACAGTGTATTTTGCACTTATTTAAGTGTACACAAACATAATGTGGCGTGCCACGTGTCTCTTTTCCAGACAACTTTAATTCCGTACCTCATATTTCTCAGCTGAATTTTCTAATTTAATTAATTGTTAAAGAGTCGAAAAACTGAGTGAATCCTGTAATCTTTATTGAAACCGGAAAACACGAGTGGCGCTTCAGTTATTCAAGAAAATGGCTAGAAATCTCAAAGTCCTCACACACTATACGAGTACTTTATGGCAGTGAAAGGTGAGGTGGTCGCTCTCACACACATTAACAAGTCTAAAGAAACAGCAATGCATGGCGATATGATGCATGGTGGTGCCTCTTACAATAAGATTTGTATGGAGAGCTGATTTAACAATGATGTATGTAAGAAAATGGCCCAAAAGTCATGAACGGGGGCGAATTGGTAGCAATCATGTCTGTCGTCTTATCCAGCCGCATATCAACCTAATTCAAGTCATAAACGGTATCTCTTGATACAGCATCCACGAATTAATTAACGAATACATAATAATAATAATAATAATAATAATAAGCTATGGAAGTGTTCTGCCATCTGCTGAAATAATCTTGTACTCACTGTGGCATCACAACGGTTCTGAGCAGACTTTATCGCTCTCTCTCCCTCATTTAAGTGATCTTCGAGCCACAGAATTTATGAGTTAACATGGTACTGAGGGTAAGGATAATAATAATTATGATAATGAAAGTAATATTAAATATGATAATGATAACAATAATAATGAATAATAATACTATCATGAAAAACTATACGTCTTTGTGCATATGGAAATACGTATGAGTATATTCCTATCAGTTATGGACTTCTACATTTTATGGCCATCTTCAGTCAGTTTAAGAAGAACAGTAATAATTCTACAATTGGTGACCAAATTTCATTTTAACATTGTTTAATATTCACAATTACTGCTAGAGCAATCAGATTTGGGCCAATTTATTGATTGTATAACTATTATTCATGGTGTGTATGTGTAGGAACCCTGATCCATCAGCGGTACAGTTCAGCAACACACCGGGACTGGCCCCACCACGCCGCAGACCTCCTCCATCGCTACAGGCACAGCTGCAACAGCTGTACTTCAACCAGCAATTCCAGCAGCAGATTCCGGTGCGTCCGCGCACCTTGCGCCCTCCGCCCAGGCCAGCTGCACCCAGTGCTGACGACTTTCCTGCAGTGTCGACTTCCTCACAAGCACATGCCGTGCATGAGGCTCGTCTCAGAGCATCACTTGCCGGAAATGATCCTAACCTCGCAGTACTGGCACCGAGTCAGCAGCAGGGTTACTTAAGTGAGAGTTATGATCAGCAGTTGGCACAGCTTGCAGAAGCTGCACAAGTACAGCTGGCTCAAGCCCAGGCATTGCCTCAACAATTTGCTCAGGTACAGTCTCTTCCTCAACAGCAAACAGCATACACGATCAGTTCTCAGGTTAAATACGTTCCAGAACCCCAACAGGTGCCAGAGAATCCAGTAAGCTACTCGAGCAGACAAGCCTCACGTTCTCAGCAGATCCTAACTCCCGGGCGTGTGAAAACTTCGCGTCGCCCAGCAGCAGCAGAACAATATATCCGCGAGACAACACAGCCTCTCTCAGACCAGAGATTGGTACAGATTCCGCAGAGGCAACAGAACTCGGAGCCAACAATTTATTTGAGTTCCCAGTCAGGGCAGCAAACTCCCAGCGCCAGTCAAGACAATGACATTATTTCACAGATTCTCTCGCAGCAAGGTCGTGATTTCTTACCCAGTTCAACCCCGTCGTCCGCTGCTTTAGCAAACGTCATTAAGTCGTCAACTTCGTTACCTTCAACAGAGTCGAGATCATCAATATATGTTACACAAACGTCAACCGTCAAAAGTACTCAGAGTCCTGGGACAGTAACAGTACATGAGGTAGGGCCACTTCAAGAAGAATCTAGCACACCTTTGCCCGTGGTTCACCTCCCAACACCTGAAGGACAGAGGCCACTAACACAGAGTGAATTCCAGGCACTTATAAACGCCGGATTCAAGATATCACCAGCTCCAGAGTCCCCTCCACAGACAGAAGCCCCAGTGTACTACCAGCAAACAACAAAGAGGCAACGATCATATGTCACACCTGCACCTCTAGAGCGCAATCACGTGTCATACCAGTCTAGACAAAAGAACCCTCAACAAGAGAAGGACGATGTTCAGCAATTATCAAGCCTTGGAATTGAACGTCTGCAGCAAAGCGGTCAGGTAGGTAGTTATGAACTGCGAGAAACAAAGCCAGGGCGCGAAGAAGAGGAAGCTACACAGTACGTTCAACCTCCTGAAACCCAGAACATCCCGGCAACCAGGATCCGGTTCTTAACAAATAAACCGGAATCGGAAGAAGAAATTATCCACTTTATTCACATACCAAGAACCCCTCAAGTACCAGACGTTCAACAGAGAGATGTTCTGATGAAGTATCAGACTGATACAGGAAGGGGACTAGCTCAAACACACGGATTGGAAGATGAAAGAGAGAGAACAAAACAGCAGATTCAGACCACAAGGTATCGCCCCCAAACTCAGGAGCTGAGTTACCAGAGAGAGCGAGACAGCTTGCCACAGCAAACACCGTCTTACCAGCACGGTGACGAGTCTGTGAGCCAGCAGGCACTGAGGTTTCATCCAATCGTTGTGGCAGAGTTGCCAACAACAACCGCACCAAGTCCTGCCCCTCGCAGACGAAGGCCTCGCCCCAGTCATAGCAGAGCTGTGTACCGCGCACAACCGGCAAGCGACCAGACAAGAAATCAAGAAGCACGTGAACAGTATCTTGTGTCTTATGACAGCATTCCAGAAGCTACATCTTTCGGCACAAGAAACAGTAGGTTAAAAGATCGTCGCCTAACATCAGACGAGGAATCTTAAAATTCATTTCTTTCTATCATCCACACTCACTCCTTATCATCAACATCATTAGTACTCTCAGATAATTTTTGTGAAAATGAACAAAATCACTGTGCAAAAAACTCTTTATACCCGGAGGACTTGAGGGCTGAACAGGCTGATGGAGACAATCTTCAATGATCAGTCTCTTCCATTATTAATTTTGCTGAATAATTGTTCCTTTATTTTTGTATTTATTTTCCAGGAATTGCCATACGAAAAGTTGTAGAATTGCTAAGAAAGTAGAAGTTTATTAAAGCAAAATATTCAACACAAGAAATTTAGAAAATAAGAGACTGGAAGACAGCAGCATGAAAGTAATTAAGCATTATCCATGGCTAGAGCGTGTCGCACTCCAATAACTTTACGGCTGCAAGCATTCAATGATATTTACTTTATTTTTTCCTTCTCAGACAAGAATCAAGGAAATCTCTCAGAACAATTAATTCATGACAAAGTTAAAAGTAATTAGAATACAGCCAGATGTATTGTTGTAGTTGTTTCAGTTTCGATATCACTGACCCGAAAGAAGGCTGTAAAAGAACGCTTGTCCATCTCTTATAGGGATATAATTAAAAATTGTTCCTTTTAATCACGTAAATGTAAGATATCAAACAATCGCAAGCACATCTTCATACTACTAATTCCTTTTCGCGATTGTCGGCTTTCAAGTTTGGTGCTTTTTGTACTTAAGCCTACAGCTCTGAAATTTTATTCGGAAAGAGAATCAGGTCTCTATTTGTAAAAATAACAGCAACATTGATTTTTAGGTTGGCATTCATACCTAAATCCGCCTATAGAGGGATTTAGTGCGGAACCAGGAAGAAACTTTAGCGATACCTCAGAGTTCCGGAAAACACGGTTTGGGAATCACTACTGTATTTAATCAGGAAGATACTAAATACAGATCATAATCATCAAACTGTAAGCTTTTCATGTACTTATGCATTAAAGAAGCTGAAATGTAAATACTTCAATGTCACTTTACCTTTCTTCTTCCATTTTCTCTCTTCACACGTGGCCAAGAATTGAAGGCACTGCAAATGCTATTCCAGCGAGTCAGGAGCAGATTCTAGAGACAAGCACCGGTACAGAGTCTCTCAGTCTGACTGACAGTAGGAAGGCTGTATTGGAATATTTTGTTAAGTCATTTTTGGAAGCGCCAGTAAAAGTGTTTGCAACTTGTATTATTTGAAATCAGCTCCTGTTGATACTGACAAAGCCTCCTTAGGATACATTAGAGGCTACGGTTCACTGTTCTCTCATTATGTACGTAGCATTCTGAGTGAGTGTCCAATAATTAAGAGTAAGCGGAGAGGATCACAGCTGTAAAAGGTCATAGAAGGTTTGCATTTGTCGGACTTGCAGTGTCCAGCTTTGTCAATAAATTTCATTACACTCCTACAGGTGTCAGCAGTGCCTAGTTCATATTGGTTTTCTATCATTTTCAGTAAATTCGTATGAATAGTTTTGGAAATGTTGTTCTGTAGCGTCATATTGCGCGTAAGACAATGTTTATTTACAATTCTTTATTAAGTCCATCACAGCAAAACAATGCAGTGTTCAAGGCTAAATTAGTTTTGCTACATGATTCGGCTATTCATAGTCATCATCAGGCAAATACACGATCATCATGTTTACACACTAGTGAACTGTAATTACGTAGTAAGTCTGGATACTTGATAATTATCATATTATAAAACACGTGGTATAAAAATTACAATGAAATATAAACTTATTATAAAACCATAGTTATTTCGTAAAATAAGGTTAAAACTATTCATGTGATAATTTATATCGCAAAGTCAGTTCTTACAATCTTGTATTTTCCCGCGGACGTTGGTATATTCTAGACTTTTATATGACAAACTGCTTGGAGGCCCGTGAAGTATAGTTTTAACATTAATTGTTTGGGCGGTGCTTCATCGTACGATGTATTTATGTCCGTTTTGTAGGAAATACAGATTTCAAAAACGAAAACCAAAAAAAGAATGTTTATTATTATTCATTCCACACTGTTATGGTACAGACACACCATGCGTTTGCATGTACTGCTTATTTTGTCCTATTGCGGTCATAGTCAGGTACATAGAGCCCTTACAACCACCTTCTTTCTATCTGCTATACCGCCCGACACAGACAACTCTTTGTACATTGGGAATGCGTTTCACAGGTAAGTTGTGTATGTAATGAAATGAATTAAATATTAAAATTGGAAAGTTTAAAATATTGTAATTAGAATTAAAACTGAGTTATTTGGTGTTGAAAGATATATATGCTCCCTTTGCCTTATGTTGTCGTATCTCTCTTGTTTTGTGTTGTGAGATGTTAAGTGGTGTTCGTCAATGTGCGTTCTTGTTTCTCATGGGAACCTTCCTAGGATCTTATATTGTTGTGTTTATATGTTGGCCTACGAGAGTGTGTTTTGTTGTTTTCGTGTTCATTTCTTTTCCTTTCTTCCCTTTACCTGCTCTTATGTGCGATGTGTGTTCTCTGAAGACACCTGCTACATACTGGGCAAAAAAAAAAAAAAAAAAAGAATAAAAAGAGATTTTACAGTATCGAATGTGAAGCTGTATTTGACCTAAAAAAAATTAGACAGTAATCTTAATTCTTTACTCCATGGCTTCCCGTTTTCATCGTAGGTATAATTAGTATTTTGTCTGTAAACAACAGGCAATTCATTAAACTTACTTAAAGCACATTTCCTAACCCCCACTTCGTATTATTTATTATCACAGAACAGTCAATTACAAACAGGTTCTTTAAATTTGTTTGAATTCATCATTGTTCCAAAATGCTTCGACATTTACAATGTTAGCCTCAGGGTAATATTCTTAGTAATACAAACGGAAGTAAGTGGAAATTATTTTCTGTTTTCTCATAATTAAAAAAAAAAAAGATTTTGAACGTTTTTGCGGCAAGAATCTATAGCATCATACTTCGGCGTGCAGCCTAAAGCCCAAACATCTGAGCGGGCGTCTATTACTAGACAACGGCTCTTAGTCTGTCCGACTGTAGAAGATAAAGAGACCGAAGGAAATATTGTAGCAGATCAGTGGCGGACGGAACAGAACTGAACAACCAGCTCAGACAAGGTGAGAGAAGACCGGAGCGTAGCTCTGAAGGCAGATCAGAGAAGACCGGAGCAGAATTGAGATCAGAGGTCAGATCAGAGACGACGGACTAGTCAGGTCACATCGTCTGGAAGACGCTATTTCAGAGTGACTGTAGTGACTGTAATTGTAAACGAGTTATCCAATAAAACAGCTTCGTCTGATCCGGAATCCACAATTCCCGGACACGTGACAATACATTATTACAAAGAAAACTTAAATTAGAATTTCTGTATGCAATTCAACTATTCGCGTTTCAAACCAATGTAAGAAATGTATGAGTGGCAAGTTGGGTAAAGCTCAAGGACGTTCAGTAAGAGAATCCACTGAGTGTGAGTTGTATAATCGTGTGGTTGTACTTACTTAGGAACTCGGCAGTGTGTGTACGTGTGCGTGCGTGCGCAACTAGTCTAGCTACATCGCCCTACGACGAATAGAATCATCAAGGGACAAGGATGAAATTTATTTCAGTAGCTTGCATTTTTATTGAAGGCACTGTGACAGTAACAAGGCTGTGGATTTTGTGTCTTCGGTGTTGCTCATTGGTAATCATGTTATTCTAAGCGAGTGTCTCAGTCACTGTAATTATGTAGAATCAAAGGAGACATAGGTAAGTTACTGTGACATGTAGGCAAGTTGCTATGCAATGGATCAGTAGCAATCACGCGGTCACTCAAACAGACACGAACGCAACAGTTGCCCTGCAACAGAGGAAAAAGTTGGCGAGATGTTATAAACATGGCCAGTTAGTTTTTGTAGTCAGTCCCTTGAATTGGTTTGTGAGTAAATGAGTTAGTGTACTGCTGCGTGCAGTCATTGTGAGCTATTGCTTTTAGAAACTGATAGCTTAGGCCGGAGACAGTTCAGGAACACAGAGGAAGGGGAACGCCCGCGTTAGAAGCCGCTACCAAACAACGGCTAGTGAAGATTGTAACAGAGTGAGAAGACCTAGTGTATCTTACAGTGATTTGTAAAAAGTGTAAAAGAGTGAGTGCATAATACTTCCTTATAGTTACGAGTTGTAAGAGTCAACTAAATCTGATTACGATCTGAACCCCGTCTATAAACACGCACTAGAAACGTGACAATATTTATGAAATATGAATGCAAGAGGAATTTCGAGTGGCGAAAGTACACGTCTCTCTCCTGGCTCGGTCACCTTTCTGAGAATCAACTCCGGAACGTCTCCTGTTACCACATTTTCATACTGTGATTTTCTGGATTAGGACACAGCGCAGTCCGATAGGTGTGTACCAATGTGCGAGTACTGGAGGAACGCTCAGCTTCCATCTTCAGTGTAGTATATTGGTGTCACATTGTGTGCTTTATTAATTGTATGAGAGATTTCCTTCCGAGAAAAGAGGCGTATAATATATGAACCCGAAAACAAAAGTGGCGTTTCCTCCCAAAATGTTGATATTCCACCCACTAGCGTACTCTGAGTGACAACGCAGAAGACCACAATGCCAATTTTTATAAACCTGCAAATCTCAAACATCATATTTCTGTTTACTGAAACCACCGACCAACCTGCATTAAGCTGACTAAACACATTTATGTATTTTTCACCAGTTACTGAATTTGGAGGTGAATCGAAAGACTGAGGATCCGGGGCTCCCAGCAAAAATAATCATTTCTGTTTTCACCAATACTCTGTGCATACCCCCCCCTCTGACGCGCAGCCTCCTATCAAATGGACAACACAGGGTAAGGCTGCAGGAAGCTTACACCCCCCTCCACCTAATGCAGCAGCTCAGAAGGCGTGGAATTTAGACCCTTGAGCTTTTTGAGAGTGGTGTTTGGGCACACTGGATTTGATATCAGGAGTTTATTTATTAAAACATTGTAGTATGTTAAGCATAACTCCTGCATCTGTAGGGTAAAGCTCTGATTTCTTATGGCTTTTGCTGTATCTCCAACCCGGCCCGTAACATCAGAGAAAATTCTGAGATCTAAATGCACACTTCAGACAGGAGCACGTATTTAAGTGAATTTCAATTTGACATCTAAACATAACACACGTAGAAACAACGAAGATGATGGCAGGTAATGGCGGCCGGCAGTTTAACATGGGATCCGAATCGTTACACTTCACATTAGCGTCTTCGAAACCGGACGTTACGGATCGGAACATAAGGAAATATACGTTTCTTCTTCCGCAAACTATAGGAAGGCCATGAAAATATTCTGCAAATCAAATACAGATTATTGCAAGACATATCATTACCATCGCGAACTTTTATATTATTGTCAGTTTAATATTATTCTGGCTCTGCTGAATATTGTAACCATAACACTTCAGTTTAAGAAATGTATTATTGAAATATGAGGGGTCCAGATTTGATGGGCTTAGAACTTTGTAATTTGAATGAATCCGCTACATAAATGGGTTAGGTACAAGGATTTGTAAGACTTGTATAGGAACAGTTTCTGGATGTTCCGCAAAGAAATGGAGATGCAGTGACAGGAGGTTGGAGAAAACTGCATAATGAGGGGCTTCATAACTTGTACTCTTCTCCAGGTATAATTAGAAAGATCAAATCGAGGGGGATTAGGTGGGAAGGGCATGAAGCACGAATGGGGAAGACGAGAAATGAATATAGGATATTGGTGGGAAAGCCAGAAGGAAAGAGATCACTGGGAAAACCAAGGCGTAGGCGGGTGGACAATATTAAAATCGATCTTAGAGGGATAGGATGGGATGGATTTGATTTATCTGGCTTAGAATTAGGACCAGCAGAGGCTCTTATAAAACTTCAGGTTCCATAAAATGCTGGGAAATTCTTGAGTAGCAGCAGAATTGGCGCCTCCTCAAGGAGGGCTCAGCTCCATGAGTAAGTAAGTAAGTCAGAT